TTAAGTCCTGGAAGTCTGGTCAGCCTTCATACCAGAGCAACCTGAAAGCACAGGGGACATAGGGAAATGTTCTGCCCGGCAGAATTCTGAGACGCTTCCTGCACAGTTCCCCAAAGGGGCGCCACCAGGCTGGCCACCCAGGATCCCCTCCCACACAAATAACCTGCACCCATATCTCTTGCCCTGCTTCCAGGGGATCCCATCGGTGATGCCTTCTTTCATCCTTGGGCCAGCCCAGATGGAGATCAGACCCACATTTACCCCCATACATGTGTACATGATACCACACACATGCATACAATACACATGCCCACAGCACACCATATGCACATAGCATCACATATATGCATACATCACATGTGTGTATACAGTACACACATGCACAAAGCACCACACACATGCACACAGCACACATACATGCACGCAGCATACCAGTTGCATAAACACACACATGTATACAACACACACAGCACACACATGCATGTAGCACACATGCACATAGCACTACACACGTATGCAGCACACATATATGCACACAGCATGCCACATGCATATATTACACACGCACATGACACACAGCACACACGTGTATAGCACAGAGATGCACATAGCACCACATGCATGCACACAGCATACCACATCCATACACTACACACATGCACATGACACAGCACACACATGCATACAGCACCACACACATGCACACCACATGCATACACTACACACACATGCACACAGCACATTCATGCACACAGCATACCACATACACACAACATGCACATGCACACAGCACACATCACACATGCATACACCATACACACATGCAAACACCACACATCACACATACACAACACACAGAAATACATGCACTACACACATGCATATAACACATCATACACATGCACACATCACACACATACCACACACATACACTGCACCACACATATGCATAGAGCACATAGGCACACAGCACACATACATGCACACAGTATCACACATAATACACACAGCACACATACCTGCATACACCACACACAACACCCATATACACAACACACATGCATACACCACATATATGGATATTAACACACATGCATACGCCACACACATGTACAAAGCACCACACATGTACACATAGCACATACATGCACACAACACATACATACACCACACACACATAGCATCCACACATGCATGCAGAACCACACACATGCACACAGCACACACATGCTTATACCACACGCTCATGCACACAGCATCACACATATTACACATGTGCTGCATGTACATGCATAGAACACACCAGCACACGTTCACACAAATATACACACACTGCATATACCATGTATGCACACATGTGCACGTGCATACACACACACACACACACACACACACACACACCCTCTTTCTTGCTCCTCCCAGCCCAGGCTCAGTGGGTTGGCAGCCCTGGCCTGTAAAGGATAGTTAAATGTGGCCCCCTCCAGTGGCTGCTTATAAGATGGCTGCTCCTGGAGCTCTGCCCTTGTAGTAACTCTGGAGGGTTTTCACCAGACCAAGAATGAACGAGTTATGAGTCGGCTAATAAAATGCTTTGGCCAGAGCCCAGAGTTCTGTCTTCACTGTTTCCTGGTTTTATTGGTGATCCTGCTCAGCGGCCCTGCCTGGTGCCCCTTCCCTGAGTCACCTGCTGTGGCTGTGCCAAGCATCCAGGGCAGACGTGCTGCCAGGCCTCACGGGCTCCTGCTCTAAGTGCCTGCAGCTGCTGGAGCCCACACCGTCCTTCCTCCCTCCCTCCCTGAGGACCCGCACCAGGCAGGCACCCACAGGTGTCACTGCCTCCAGACCTCCTCCAAATGACCCTGGCCTCACAGTCCCAGCAGGTGCTGTCTGCTGTGAAGGGGCTTCTCGCCCTCTTGGGAAAGGTGCCCATTCACCCTGGAAGGATCCCTGCCATCCTTATTTCTCACATTCTCCTCATCTCCCATCATCCAGTCCTCTGGCTTCTCCCCCAGAAACAGCCCTTAGGTCTGCCAGTTCCCTGCCCCCGGCCTGGGTCTGTACTCATCAGCTCTCCCCTGCCCACCACCTTCTCAGGGGCCTGCTCCCTGTCCCTCATGACCACACCTAGTGATCGAGGATTCCAGCCCCACTAACCCAGTGCTGAGCTGGTGGGGCACACTTAGGTCTGTCGAATGTGTGCAGGATGTACCATCCGGGCCAGGGGCAGCTACTCAGGGGCTGAAGGTGCTGGGAAAGGCCTCATGGGCATCAAGACCCCCACATCTGGGGACAGCACCACCCCCTCCTGCTGGGGATGCTGCTGGGAGAGCTGCGGCCACACCTGCCCCTGGAAGACAGGATCCAGCTCCTCATGCTCCTGGACGCCCTGCCTGGCCCTGGCCCCGTCCACCTTGTTCCCTTCCAGCGTCTTTTTTCCAAAAAAGATGCTAAGTCCATGCCGGCCACAGGGCCTTGCCCCTGCTGTCCCCTCTGCCCAGAGTGCTCTTCCCAGACCCTGTGTGGCCAGTTCCTCACCCCATGTGCCTGGAGAGGCGTTTCCTGAGCCCTCCCTTCTAACGCAGCCTCGCCGTATTCAGCCACCTCCCCCGTATGGGTTCCTTCACGGCACTGAGTGCTCTCTGAAATGACTGTTTTTACTCTCGTTTGTATGGTTAGTTTTCAGGCTCCCTTCTCCAAACTGTGAGTTCCGGAGGGCAAGAACCCCGTGTCGGGCTCTCTGTTATATTCCCAGCACCCAGCCTAGTGCCCAGCATACACAGGCCCTGGGTAAGTGTCCACCCGATAGCTGTCTCAGGACAGTGGTGGGGTGAGGGGAGGCAGAGTTGACAGCCCTGGGGATGGCTCACCCTCTGTCCCAACGCCCTCACTCATGGATTAGCCCCTGGGCACATTCTGGAGTGAGAAGTTGGGTGGGCAGGGCAGGGAGTGGACGGGTGAGGGGCCTGGGTAGAGGCGCTCCTGGGGAGATTATGAGGGGGCGGGGCCAAATGCCTCCCAGGTCCCAGCCATGGCACCCGCAGCCGGGGTCCCACAAAGCTGGGGATGGCTCAGGGCCTAACTCCATGCTAGCCGAGAGGCTCAGGGAGCTTCCCTGTGGTGGCCATGACGGCAGCTCATGCTCTGCCTCAGCACAGGCCTGACCCCTCGGCAGCGGTGGGCCTGGCAGGGAGAGGATGCAGGAGACCTCAGGGCACATGGCCTTCTCCCCTGTCCCAGAGCATAGCTCTGCCACCCTCACCCCTGTGGGACACTGAGCTGTGGCCAGGAGCTAGTCCACGCCCATGTTCCAGGTGCTCTGGCCTCATCCAAGCATCCCCTACCCTGCTCCCCAGCAGGGCAATCATGCCTCAGTGGCCCAGCCACTTGCTGGAGAAAGTCCTTTATCAGGGGGCTGGCCTCTTCCCACTGAGCTGCACCTGATAGGAGGGTCTCTCAGTGCTGCCCAGAATGACACAGCTGCTTGGGTCAGCTCTTCTGAGGTCCCTCTTGCAGCCTCTCCTCCTAGACCCCCAGCTGCCTCCCGGGGACACACTGGGACTAGACCCTAGGCTTGGGGGCACAGGGTGATAATCAGAGAAGACGCAAAGAGTAGCCCAGTGCCTGTGCCCTGAGGGCCTCTGGCATTCTGCCAGGAGTACACCCCTCTCCCCCAACCAAGTGTGCCTGCCTCTGTTCCCCTCCCCTTCCCCATACCTGACCCTTGGTCTCAGACATCACCCTCCCTATGGCCAGCCTCTGGCCCTGGCCTTGGTCCAAGCCCTGCTACCTTCCCGCTCAGCCTACCTGGCCCACATTGACTCTAATACACCTGTATGCCCTAGGCAGATGCTCACTCTTTCCAGGCCTTAGTTTCCCTAACTGTTCAAGAAATGGGCTAGACTCTGTTGTTTTTAACCGGTCCATTGTTCCAGAAACAGCCTTTGTTGGAAGAAACAGCACCTTGCTCCATCCTCAAAGCTGACATAAGGCTCACTCTGCCCCCAGTCTAGTGAGACAACACTCAGCCTCTTACCCTTGCCCCCGGGGTCTGCGGAAATGGCCTGAGCTTGGCTCCTCGGAGCCTGCGTGTGGCAGCCCTTGTGCCCTCTCTGCAGTGTCAATCCAGGGCCATTCTGCCACAGAAAGACTGGGAGATAGGCGAGGCGGGTTTCTATGCACATAGGTTAAGCACCTGGATCTAGATATTCCTGAAAGCAGCGAACCTTGACTTTTTATGATCCACAAGCCAGTAAGTTCATTTTGCTCAAGCTGGTTGGGTTGAGTTTTGAGCCATAGTTCATCAAGTAGGTCCTGACTAAAGCAGAGGGCAGGTGTCCTGAGCTCTATGCTGGGACAAACCGGGGAATTTTCACTGTTCAGGTGGACCCAGTTCAAGGAGGCCACTGGATCCTGTTAGGGCCCCCTCTCCCTTTCTAAAAGTGAAATCAGGCATCGCCATCCTCCCAGCACCCCGGTGTCTTCAGAGTGGCGTCCACCCTCTCTGTGGGCCACGGGAGAAGGCCGAGAAGGTGTGGGGGGTGCAGTTTCCCCATTACCTGATGGATGCCCACCCGGGGATGTCCCACTCGGGGTTCACGAGCAACCTAGAGTGCGGTGGCCGTGGTAGGAGGACAGCCCAGAGGACAGGTCCGGGCCCAGCCTTGAGGACAGAGGGCGAACCGGATTTCGGGGCGCCAGAGGCTCGCCAGGTGAGGGGTCGGCCGGGGCAGCTTGGGCGCAGAGTCGACCAGGGTCCGCGCTCGGGAGGGCAACGTCTGACAGCCTGAGCGGGCGGTCCGGCCCTTGGGGCTGGGTCCCAGGGGCAGGCGGGGAGCCGCAGCGGAGGCCTGAACGCAGCGCGGGACGCTCGGCCGAGACTCCGGAGCCGGGGCGTGGAGGGCCCGGGTGGGCAGCGCCGCCCGCCGGGCTCCCGCCCTCCGCCCGCCCTCCGCCCGCTCCGCGCTCCCCGAGCGGCCACCAGGGGGCGCCGCGCCGCGCTGCTGTGTGGCCGCCGCCGGGCGCTCGTGCGGGCTGTGCCGGGAGCCGGGCGGGCGGCGGCGGCGGCGGCGGGCGGTGCCCCGGGTCCGTGGCGCCGAGGCTCGCAGCGGGCGCTGCCCATGGGCCGCGCCCGGGGTTCGGGCGCGCCGGGAGCCGGTGAGTGGTGGCGCGGCCGGGGGACACCTGGCGCTGCGGGCGAGGGCGTGGGCTCGCGGGCGCCGGGGAGGGCTGCGGGCGGCCGCGGGGCGCCGGGCGCGGGGCGCGGGCGAGGTCGCGGCGTGGGTGCGGGGCGGCGGGGACGGCGGGTGTCCAGGACGTTGGCGGGCACGCGTGGGCCTGACCCGGAGCACAGGTGCGCGCGCGGTGACAGTGCGTGTGGCCGGCCGGCGGGACCCGGGGCCGCGGCGCACGTGAGTGTGCGGTCCGCGCGGCGGGGTCGGCGGGTGGCGCGCGGCGCGGGAGCGTGCGCCGGGGTCGGCAGGGGCGGGGTCCGCGCGGCTACCGCGACGCGAGGTGCAGGGGTGGCGGGGAGGGGACCGGCTAAGGGCACACCCCCCGCCACATGGCGGGAGACCCGGCTCCGCCGCGCGCCCGAGCCCCTCCACTGGGAGCAAGGAGCAAGCTTCTCTGAGCCACTGGAGTGGCAGGAAAAGCCAGCCTGGCCCAAAGCCTCCACCCGCACTGGACCTCAGTTTCCCCGTCTGTGAAATGGGGACGGCAAGGCACACCTGCCAGTGCAAGTGCAGAAGGGAAAGGGCCTTGCGCCTGGGGAAGAGGGTGCTGTCGCCCTTCAGGATAGGATCGGATTTGAGGAAAGGTGCAATGCTAGTATCAGAGGGCCTGCGGAACGGTGGGGTCTGCTGGGAGCCCGCGGTGTGTCCCTCACGCATTGACAGCGGATGGCATCAAGGGACCAGCTGGTCCACCCTTTGTATTTAGATTGGGAAAGCAATGCTTGGGGGGGGGGGGGGGTTGGGGAAGGGTGCTGCCGCCGCCGCCCCATGCGTGGGGGTGGGAAACACAGACCTGGCAAGTTGGGCTGATGGAGGAGCTCATCCCGGCCACCACCTCCTGCCTCCTGGGGCTGTGGGGCAGACAGAAGTTCTACTGAGTCCCGGGAGCCTGAGAAGAGTCCTGGAAAGCTCTGCCTGCCAGGCAGCTGGAGTAACTGAGGCTTAGAGAGGGGTGGGACCATGGAGTGGCAACGCGGGGGTCGCACCTCTGGTAGGACTGGCTCCAACAGCCATAGAGCTGCCACTGTGCCAGGCGACTGGGGGGGGGGGGCTGGGGTTGTCCACTCAGCAGCCCAGCGCATTCATTGAGCGCCTACTGTGTGCTGCCTGCCCCCGTAGGTGCTCACTAGCTGGTGTGTGACAGGGACACCAAACACGGAATCAAAGACAAGCAAGGACGTGGCGGAGAATGCGTGCTGGGAAGGAACGTGCAGTAGGGTGACTGGGACAGAAGGAGACCAGGCTGCATCTGAACCTTCGCCTGGTCAGGGAGGCTGCCCTGAGCTGGGAGCCCTGCCTGTGCTGTGATGGACGAGTAGCCTGGGGGAGCCGAAAAGATGAGGTCCCTGAGGGCAGGAGGGACGGAGCTGGAGCCCAGTCGGTGGGGGGTCTGGATGCCCTGGGCAGGGATTGGAGGTTGGGAGTTGGAGGGTTGCCCCTGGCAGCAGAGGGAGGGCAGGCGAGAGAGGGACAAGCTGTGGAGGGCAGGGCAGGGCTGGCAAGGAGGAGCCCGCAGGCCTCCAGACTGGGGTCCTGCCTGCCACCTGGCCCTTTTCAGACCAGGGTCTTTGCCCTCCTGCCACATCCCGGTCAATCTCTGAGGTGGTTCCAGCTCTCACTTGTACCTGTACCCAGATCCAGAATCAGCCATTTCTCCAAGGGGCCTTGGCTCCTTCCGTGGGACCCGAGTTTAGAGATCAGCGATGTGGGTAAGCCTTGTCGGGGACGCAGCCAAGGCATCTTTCTTTTTTGGTAAAAATTAATATTGCCATTCCCTTTCTCCTGCGGTGAGAACGTTGTCCCCCAAAACATGAACATGTGGAGTCATTTAGCGCTGCAGTGCACCCTGAAGTCGTTTCAGAATTACTACATCCAAACCAAGGCCGACCAAATACCTACTAGGTCAGCTTCGCGGGTGTGCAGGCGGAGGGCTGTGCGATTGTGTTACCGATTGGATGCACTGCTAGCTTCGTGTGTTTCTATTTGCATTCAGTTTGCAACTTTTTTCCTTTAGACTTTAGGATGTAATTTTATTTTTTGAATATGTAAAACACATGGTTTAAAGGTCAAAACTATTTAAAAGCTATCCTTAGAGGTCTCAATCCCACCCCCGTGTCTTCCTCCTTGTTCCCATACCACTGGTAGCCATTTAAAATATTTTCTGGTTTATCCTTCCTGTGTCTCTTTCTGCAAAACAAGTCTTTTAAGCATTATCACCAAAGTTAGCACATACAGCTCCTTGTTTTTCTTCCATTAAAAATATGTCCTGAAAATAACTTCTTACCAGTTCATGGAGACCCGCCTCATTCTTTTTCACATTCACATAGTATTGTTCTGTAGCAGTACTATTATTGTTTATTCAAATTAAGCTCTGTGGATGAACATTTTGGTTTTTTCCAAGCCTTTTTTTATTTAAAATGATGAAGTAATGGATAACTTTGCACCTATATTGTTAATATTTGCAAAGGTGTATACTTAGAACAAATTTCTAGAAGTAGGAGTGAATGTGGATTTATTTTGTCCAGATTCCCTGTCAGGAGGTGGCACCGTTTTGCGTTCCTACCACCAATGTATCCGCGTCTGTTTCTTTCACAGCCTCGCCGGTCTGAGAGCTGAGAAACAGTATTTCAGTGTATTTTAAATTTATATTTCTATTATTATAAGTGAAATTGGACATCTTCTCACATAGATTTGGAATCACAGTTAGACTTTTCCCAGCCCAATTATAAAGCAATCATCTGTGTTTTCTAATATTTGTTTAATCTCTTTCTAAATGTCTACCACTCTCTCCCAATTTCGTTTATTTAAAAGGTCATCTTTTCTCCAGTGATCTGAAACGCACCTTTATCCTATACTAAACATCTAAGCCCTGGGCCTGTTTCTGGCTTTCTAGTCTGTCTCACAGGTCTGTCTATTCCATCTGTTCACACACTGGTGAGAGGGAGAGAAAGAGAGAGGGAGAGAATATATTTAAAGGCAAGGAGGGCCTGGCGCAGTGGCTCATGCCTATAATCTCAGCACTTTGGGAAGCTGAGGTGGGCAGATCACTTGCGATCAGGAGTTTGAAACCAGCCTGGCCAACATGGTGAAACTCCGTCTCTCCCAAAAAATATAAAAAGTTAGCCAGATATGGTGGTATGCGCCTGTAATCCTAGCTACTTGGGAGGCTGAGGTATGAGAATCACTTGAACCCAGAAGACAGAGGTTGCAGTGAGCTGAGATTGTGCCACTGCACTCCAGCCTGGGCAACAGAGTGAGACTCCGTCTCAAAATAATAATAATAATAATAAAGGCAAAGAGGACTTTATTCAAAACTATTGCAATAGAGGAGAGATTGAGCTCAACTCTCCTTGTGTTTTAATATCTGATGGGTAAGTTCCTTCCACTGCTTTTTACTGCAAGGATTTCCTAGCTATTCAGCATGTTGCTGGTATTTGGTGGGGAAGGAGATCATATTAAGTTTATATTAGACTTACAAACTTTAGGATAATTGGCATCTTTATGAAGTTGAGTCATCTTATCCAAAACCAAGAGATAGCTTTCTGTTTGTTCAACACTACTTCTCGGAGTATTTTGAAGTTTTCCTCATATGTTTTTCATGTTTCTTAAGTTTATTCATGAGTATTTTACCTTGTGTGTTGCTATTATAAATGGTTTCTTTTTCAATTATATCTTTGAATTGGCTACTGTTTTGTGTATGTTATTTTATATCTTTCTGTCTTACCCAAATTTTTATTGTTAGTCTTCTTCTTTTTTTTTTTTTTTTTTTGAGACAGAGTCTCGCTCTGTCACCCAGGCTGGAGCGCAGTAGCATGATCTCGGCTTACCACAACCTCCACCTCCCAAGTTCAAGTGATTCTTGTGTCTCAGCTTCCCAAGTAACTAAGAGATTACAGGCGCCAGCCATCACGCTGGGCTAATTTTTGTATTTTTAGTAGAGACGGGTTTTCACCATGTTGGCCAGGCTGGTCTCAAACTCCTGACCTCAGGTGATCCACCATCTCAGCCTCCCAAAGTGTTGGGATTACAGGCATGAGCACCCGCACCTGGCCTGTTGTTAGTTTTATCTCTTACTTATTCTGTCATCTACAAATTCAAATAGCTTTACTGCTTTTTTACTGATTTTTATGCTTTCTTTTGTCTAATTAAATTGGCTGAATACCTCTAATTCAGTGTTAAATAATGGATGCAGTGGGCCTCCTTACCTTGTTTCTGACCTTAGTAAAAAGGCCTCTAATACTTCCCCCATTAAGAAAGATGCTGACTTTGGGATGGAGGGAGAGAGAGAGAGAGAGAGAGAGAGACAGAGAGAGGAGGGAATTTCCATTGACTTCTATTTTAATTGGTGGTTTTCTACTTATTTGTTTCTTTTTTGTTTGAGATGGAGTCTTGTTCTGTTGCCCAGACTGACTGGAGTTCAGTGGCACAGTCTCAGCTCACTACAACCTCCACCTCCTGAGTTCAAGCAATTCTCCTGCTTCAGCCTCCCAAGTAGTTGGGGTTACAGGCATGCACCACCACACCCAGTTAAGTTGTATATTTTTGGTAGAGATGGGGTTTCACCATGTTGGCCAGGCTGGTCTCAAACTCCTGGCCTTAAGTGATCCTCCCGCCTTGGCCTCCCAAAGTGCTGGGATTCTGCGCTCAGCCTGTAGTATGTTTTAATATCATTGCATTAGTTATCTATTTCTGTGTAATAAGTTATCACTGACCTAGTGGCTTGAAGCAACACATGCTTATTAGCTCATCATTTCTGTGGATCAGGTGCCTGGGCATGGCTTGGCTGAGTGCTGCTGGCGTTGGCCAGGACTAGCTTCTCATGCAGAGACTCAACAAGAGGAGGATTTGCTCATCCATTCATGGGGTTGTTGGTAGCATTTAGTTCTTTGTAGTTATATTTAGAGCTCAAATTTTCGGCTAGAT